TTTTTTTTTCTATTTTTTCTTTATATTTCTCTTTGTTAAAAAAACCAAAGATTGTGCTTTTATGCTTTGACGCGTGATATATAAAAGTTTAGGACATTAAATTAAATTAAGAATTAAATTTTAATTTTGAGATATTTGTGGAGAAATTTAAGAAAATAGAAGTTAAGTTGTTGTAGAAAACCTTAAAGAAGTATACAAAAGGTAAATGATTTTGGGACAACTTTTTTGTACCATTTTTTGATATAACTTGACATGTCATTTAAATAATTGATTCTTTTAATTAATGTGAAACTCGTGATATTAAATGCATTCACTCATTTAATAATATGTGAAAGTTATATAAAAAAGTAATATAAAAATGTTGTCCTTATAACACTTTTCATATACAAAATTGTTTTAGGTGTTTTGAAATTTACACATATTTTAAATTAATTTTTTTTAAAATTTAATCAAAAATAACTACCAAGATAAGGAGACTTAGAGTTATTAACTTTTTATTAATATTTTAAAAAAATCAAATCTAAATAAATAAAATAAAGAGCATATATCTCTTTATCGACTAAACCACTTCTCATTGGATAGCCAATGTATTATAGTCTTCTCTCCTACTATATATACCCTCTCATCCCCTATCTCATCTAATAAACCTCAACAACAAGAAAAAAGAGAAGAAGAAGAAGAGGAAGATAAAAAGGTTGGCACTCGAATTACAGTGCGTATAGTCTTCATCGTGCACCACTGATAGATGAAGCTGCCAGCATGATCTGATCTCTCCTTAATCGACCTCTTTTCTGAGGGGAAAGACTAGATCATGGATGGCAGTTTCACCCGTTGATGGTTTCATGAAAAACCCTAATTTCCTTTTTTCGTGGCCTCATCTCTCCATTTCCAACAATTTTTTAGGGTTTCTTCACCAGACAATTCCACAAAAGGTATGCAATTCTCCTTCTATTCTGATTCTCAGATCTGGGTATTTCCCCTTTTCAACTTTTTGATCGACAAAAAAAAATTTTATGACTTTTTTGTGGTTCTTGTGTTCTTTCATGGGGATGTTGTTAGGGTTTTAAGTGACCGGATTTCCTCTGTGTTAAACTGTTAATGCAGTTTTTGTTGCTTTTGAGATCCCTCCTCGTGTCCTGAAGAAAGTGTTTTTCTTTTTTAGCATTCCTTAATTTTACTGTTTATGTCAATTCATGCTGTACCTGCAGTACTGATCTATTCAAATTTGCTTTTATTCCTCTATTTCCATTATATTTCTAATTAATTTCTGCGTTTGAATCCTTATTGGTCTCATAGATCTATCTTCATCTTCATGAGAAGAAGTTGAAGTTAGTGAAAGAAGACTAACAGAATTGCAGTTTAATAAAATCTTTGCTTTTCTTGCCAAAATTTGAATAATTAAAATTGACCATTAAAAACCAAAATTAAAAGCAAAAAATAGCAACTTTGTAAAGTACAAAATTTTAAAAGTGGCTTTTGATTTTTATTTTTAAAATTTTTAATTTTAAATAAAAAAATCGTTGGGTCTTTCATGTTTAAATTTCAACCTATCAAATAGGCTTTTAAATTTTAGTTGTTAGTTTTAATATTTCTAATTTTTAGTTATTGCAAAATTTTTTACAATTAAAATAAAAAACCCAAATCATATTAAATAGAATCTCACTTGAAAACAAATTCAGAAACTATCTTCGAATTAAATTAAGAAGGGTCGAGTAATTAGACTCAATTCTCACGACAAAGAAAACTTAATTGATTTTCTCCAAATCAAGAGGTTCTGAGAGATCTAGAGACGCCCAGGTAGGTTTTCTCTGTGCACTCTGAATTGAATGGCTGCAAGCAAAACATGCTTGTCTTAAATTGCGCACAATATGGCACAAAATTGCCAAAATCTCACAAACCTCAGCCATGTGATATAAAGGTTTGAAAATTTCTAGACTTCATGCGTCCAAGCTTTCGTCTTCAAAGACAGAGCATGCGTAGTCTCTTTCGTTTGTGGTCCTATGTAGTTTTTTATTGCTTTTTTTTTCTTCGGGGCAATTGAAAATCAATACAGGGTACAAATCCTTTAGCTCAAATATCTAGCTGTGGTTATTACCACAAACTGAACTCCTAAGGTCACATTAAGAACAATATTTTTTTTAAATATAATTATTTATGATATTTAAAAATATTAATTTATTAAATATTTTATTATTTATAATTAATAATTAAAATTATTAATTATTTTTAATAATTAAATTTAAAAAATTAATATATATTTTAAATAAAATATTTAAAAAATTATGTAACTCTGACATTTTGATATGCGGTAGTAACCATGCTACAATTCTCTCGCCATAAATTTCATGCCCACAGTCGTCAGATTATATTTCTTAATTAAGGCCCGTTCAGTATCATTGTTTTGTTACTTTTTGTTTAGGGCCTTTAGCTTTCTTTTTATTTTTTTTTATTGCACTGTGGACCAGCTTTGGGTGCGTCGTCAGACAGGGCTAAAATTGAAATTGGCATGATCAGAGTTTCTCAATAGAAAATGAATTAGGGACAATTTTTGTATATAATTTTTTTAAAAAATTTTGTATAATTTTTTAAATATAACTTGTATGTTATTAAATAATTAATTTTTTATTTTATTAAGTCTCATAGTATCATATACATTAACAATATTCTAAAATTATAAATAAATTATTCGTACATCAGTATTATTTCTCAATTAAATATTACAGGTCATGTTAAGTATCTCTTTCGCGCTCAACATCCTTCGCGCGTAGGGCTGCAAGTTGGTCCTGGCTAATCCATAAACCAGACCAAGTTGCCCCCCCTAATTGCGTGTAGAAATCCAAATCCAAAAAAAAAAAAAAAAATTTATATATATATATATATATATAAAATATTGTGCACTTATCATGTGTGCATGCTGATATAATAATGTCATGCATGGTTCGTTGAAGATTTGGTCACGGGTTTCTTTACTTTGTTCGGAAGCTGATTGTGGCTTCACTCCATACAAGCTTTTATGAGCTATTCCTCAAGGCAACCCACAGAGGTAGTCTCTTTTTATGAGGTTCACTTTGTCTGTTCTATGCCATTACTGAAATTTGCTCATGAAGTGTAGAAGAAGCCGACTTCTGCAATTAATTCATGGGTACAGACCATACGGTTTAAGAGGCTGTTTGGATTAGTTTTCTTAGTACAACTAATAACTAATAGTTATATTTCACTGACTAATAATAATAATTATTTATAATTTAAAATATTTAATTTATTTGATTAAAATTAACAATTCATAATTATTTTTAAAAAACAATAATGGGTACACACTTTGATTCAGTACATTATGTGATACACTTATTAAAAAATCATTATTTTTTAGTCTGAAATTAAAAATAGACAAGTTTAATGATATAATTATATACACATGATACAAAAACTGATTGAATTGACTGTATTTATATTATATTTTTAATGACTAAACTGAGAGTGTGTCAAAAAATGTGTTGAACAAAAAGTGTATCAATCATTTTCCATTTTTATAAAAGGTCAAAACAAGCACTACTTAAGCGTTGAAGGTTTTGTAGTAAGAACACAAGGCAACAGCAGCGCGAAACATTCATATGACCAAATTGCAAAAGTTACGTAGAAATTCTACCCTTATATATATACATATATATATATATAAAATTTAAGAGATCCATTAATAATTGAGAAAGATTACATAGAAATTTCAATGTATATGTTGTTGCAGTCATCATCAAAAGTCATATTGTTAAGTATTGTTAAGTATTGTTAAGTATTGTCTAGTAAAAACTTCAAAAAAAAAAAAAAAAAAGAAAGAAAGAAAGAAAAAGGCTGCCAAAATTTACTGAAGTTAGTTTACAATGTTACCTTTCCGAGCATGAAAAAAAATGTCAGATATTCTTCCCTCCACAATTAATCCTTACATAACCGTTACAAAATTCCCTAATTGCACAATTCCAGCAACAGAAACCATATTCCTGCATATTTCTAATTCCACTTGCAATATCAATGATAAAACATTTCATTTTTCAGAAAATACAGTAAATATGCCTCACAAAATATTAAAACTTTAGTTAATATAACAATAAAAAGAAAAAAAATAATAATTAGTACACATTTCAGTTTTACACATCTGTCAATAGTCATTATTTTAATTATTTGTAGTTAAAAGTTTTTTCGCATTGAATTCATATTTGAAAAATAATAATTTCATAATATGTGTATTGTATAGTGTATTAAATTAAAAGGTGTACCAATAATTGTTCAAAGAAAAAAAATTGCAAAAAATTCTTACACATCAATTTGAACAAAATTGCAGCAAACATAAACCATATTCAATCGTACCTTACAAAATAATTGAAGAAATCTGTTTTTCTACCTACAAAATTATTGAATACTTGTTATTAATGCACTAGTAAAGGAAAAAATGCAAAAAATCCATTTTTTTAATTGGAATCACCACAATAGGCAATCATACCTCACTATACAAAAATTCTCACCTAAAAAAATTTCAAAAAGAAATAATTAAGTCACTAAAATTGTCAAATTTATCAACAATTTTTTTTATCATCAAAAAACTTTTATTTTAGAGTACAAGGGTATTTTTGTCTATTTACATAATCTTTGTAGTCTAACAATATACTAAGAGATTAATATTTAATAGCCGAATCTATAAAAAGTTAGGAGAAAAACATTTCAAAATTACATTATTTTAATAAAACATTACTAAAAAAATTTACAGAGTCTCATTCATGTTTTAAAATTTTAAATACTTTAAATTTTTTCAATAAGATTTTATTAAAGTAACACAATTTTAGACTGTTTTTTTACTTTATTTTTTATCATACAAATTAAGAAAATGATGTGTGCACATCCGGATCCAACACCCGGGTGTGCACACATCATATAAGCAAAAAAAAAATGTCCATCACTCGATCCAATTTTTTTTTTTTTTACGTGAGGGGTGCACACCCGAGTGTTGGATTCGGGTGTGTACCAATTATTGTCCTACAAATTAATACTCACTTTTTCTGTACATAAATACATGATCCAGCTAGTAGTTAAACTTCTGCTTTTCAAAACCTACTAATCCTTCCCGTTCTTGGTACCGGGCACCTGTTGGGATTAAGGCACCATTCTGAAAAAGAAAAAGGCCAATCATTCACCATTCTGAAAAAGAAAAAGGCCAATCAATCATGTTCCCACTAATCCACGGGTAAGTTCTGATTTTTACCAACTCTAAGCCACAATCTGTACCGATTTGTTTGTTATTGAATCCTACATCATTCCTTGCTAGCCAGATCCATATTACAGCATACCAGATCACAGCCCAACCCCTATTGTTCTTCACTTTACCAGCAAGTTGTATAAAAACTTCCTTGCAATCTTCGTGCATCACATAATTGATTCTCCTTGTATTGAATTTATCAATAATTCAACAAAAAAATAATAATTAATACATATTTCAATTCAACATACTGTATAATATATTTATTAAAATATTATTATTTTTAATTTAAAATTAAATACAAATAAACTTAAAAATATAGTTATGTACAAAGTTATCAAAATTGAGATTCTACCTAAGATTAGAATGATTAGGTAATGTCGAAAATCATAATACAGCAAATCAAATTTTTATATTTTATGATAAGTTACATAAATATGAACTATATATAATAATTTAAAAATAAAAATTTTCGAATTCAAACATGTATATTAATACTTAGCTATTTTATTATTAACAATTAACATAGTTTTAGGTATCGTTGAATGTAAAAATACTTTTCTTGACCTTCAAACAGTAGAAATATGAAAAGCACTCGGGAGTCTATTATTTGTTTAAGTTGTTTTTAGAACATAGTGGTGCACAACTTAATACTGGCAATTTATTTCCACCGGCTGATTTGACTAAAAAAAGGTCCTAGCCTCCTAGGCTTTCACCTCTCACTTATCCGCAAAGAAATACTACGTGGAATTTGGTAATTTCCTTAACTTGATTGGGTTCCTGCATCTGAACCCCTCTCTTTCTCTTCCCAACATCATGGGTCCCTTTCCTCATCATCGATGTGTTCTGAACTTGGTGGTTTCTGGGATCTCCTAAATTGCAATTGTTACTAGCCATCGAAGAAGAAGATAGAATGAAGAGCATGTGATTTCAAGATTATTGCGGATAATAATAAGTTAGGTTAAGGTTTAGGAATTTTTAATGTTTAAGATTTACAATTTTAAGTTTCCTTTTTTTTTTTTTTTCTTTCTTTCAAAAACTACAGCTATTTACAAGGTGGTATATAGGAATTGTGGAATCACTCTAAATGGCACAACTTCACTAATCTTACAATCTTAATTGTGATCCTAGTATGATTC